ACGATAATCAGTATCACAACTTGAGTCAGTGCCGATTAGCGAAAGAGTATCAGTTTTTCGCATATGTTAAAATGTTGCGTGAGCTTTGGCGTCTACTGTATATATATGCCTGGTAGTAATCTGGTGGATTCTAGATTGATTTATTCGGAAATCCTGCTTGGGCGGTCAGCCTACTGTATGAGTATTGGTAGATTTCATACGTTGAAGCCAAGTTGGTTGTAATAGACGTTCCACTTGCTGGCGTGAGTTTGAAGCCCACTGAGGCCGCCAACAAGTGAGTGAAATGAATTATTGAAATCTGCAAAAACCTCTCCTAATAAAGGAATGCCTGTTTGCTGGCTAGAGAGCGGCAGTGTCAGGTATTTTGTACTAAACGATCAACGCATTGGTTTCATTAGTAATTTATAAGTCGATATAGTTCAGTTTTATTAGGGCCATTTACCTTAAGGTAATGTAAAAAACCCAATGTTAAATTCGAGTATTTTTGACGGTTTTGTAATTGCAATGAGTCCCAGAAACTATTCCGCAAAGTGTGTCCTGACTTTGCCAGACACTGGTTTGGGGGTTCAGCAGATTGCTTTGCACACAGCGATGCAGAACTATATGCATGTCGAGATACATGAGGGAAAAGGGGGAACCATGACCCTCTCCAAATATGTCTATGCCTATACGGTGTCTAATTACGGTCGATGGGTGGATATTCCTATTTGGTAATTGACCTCGCGGACATGATGTATTCGACAACGTGTTCAAACTTATAAATTTCATTGAACTTTAGTGATTCATCCGACGTTTGTGACGCCTAAAGTGATAAGTTTTACAGTGGGCTCGTGGTACTTATTTAGCTGGTGGCAGAGCACATCATAAAGCCGCATCGAAAGAAAAAGTGATACCTATATTTACATCTACTGATGCGGCTCTAAAGGTGTTCACAAACAGGTACAGTTTTACGGACAAGGGTGCAAACATAAACAATTTGAGGCTTAGCAGAGAAAGCACAACTTATGAATATCCGTGTTTTTTTATGATATAACCTTAATCGGGATCGGTTCTGATAAAACCATAGCTGCAAGATTTAAGGACAGCATTCAAAAACGAAAGTAGGATGGTTTTGAGGGTTGCCACATTCACGGGATAGCGTGGCTAATGGTCTACTTCGGAGGGGGAGAAGGGGTGAGTAGGTATAATGTACTGTAACCGAATGATATTCTTCTGCTACATCATAAAATAGAAACCCTACCTGAAGGAGTTCTAAGTAGCCCTTGCCCAGTTTGACATCGTAGAGGATCGGTCGGGGAGTCTTCCAGTCCAAGGGAATGAAGTCACGCGGCGGATCGGGCCTTT